TAATTTAAATTCTTTGGAGCAATTAAAACTAGAATTTTATAAAAAATCAATCGAAAAAATTAATAATCAAGAAATTAACTGGAATTCCATGAAGGCTTCCATAACTGAAATGAAGTCACAACATGAAAGAGAAATTAAATTACTAAAAGATGAAATTCATTTACTAACTAAAATGATAGATGATATTTATAAAGATAAATAAAATGTTTATGAGTTTAAATTAATTAAAAAATTTTTAATTAAGTTTATTTTATGGAACAAACAAAGAAGGTAAAAGTTTCAAGTACATTTAAAGATGTATCAATGGATAAGAGGGTGGAGAAATTAAATGATGTAGAGGATAGTAAGAATGTATTATACTTTATGAGCAGAGATAAGAGGATTCATGAGAATCATAGTGTAATACTAGGTTATCAAATATCTGATAAACTTAAATCAGAACTTTATTTAGGATGTAATTTAGATCAAATAAAAAAGAATGATAGACAATTGAAATTTATTGTTGAAGGATTGAAGTCTATGGAAATAGATGCGAAGAAATATAATTTAAATTTTTATTTGATTGATTCTTTAAAAATGTTTATTAAGGAAAATAATGTGGGTGTAATAATTGTTGATTTTTCTCCATTAAGAGAGTATGTTAAGAGAGATAAGGAAATAAAAAAAATATGTAAAGATTTAAATGTATCACTTTATAGAGTGGATAGTCATAACCTTGTACCTGCGAAATTATTAGATGTTTATAAGAGAACTGGTGCTTCTGTTAAAATTCATTTAAATAAGAAAATGAGTGAGTTTTTAGTAAATTATCCCAAATTAAAACCTCATAAGTATAATAAAGTTGTTGTTGTGAAAAATGAATATCCTAACCATAACTATAAGTTTAGTTATATTTTGAAAGGTGGGTATGAAAAGGGAATGGAGGAATACCAATCATTTATTAAGAATAAGTTTGAAAAATATCCATCAGAAAGAAATAATCCTGATAAAAATGTTTTATCAAATTTAAGTCCCTATCTTAATACAGGATTTATCAGTCCAATAGAAATAATTATACGAACTTTAGAAAAGTATCATGATACAGAAAAGTGTGAAATTTTCCTCAATGAAGTTTTTATATGGCGAGAAACATCTGAACATTTTGTTTTACATGAAAAGAATTATGATAATATTGATGGGGCTTTAAAATGGGCAAAGGAAACTTTACTTGAAC